TCTAAAGGGATAACCAACTGTATCGAATTATTGAAGATCTTAATTTAATAGTTAAAATCTGAAATTGGCACCTTTTGGACAGAGTGTCTGGATGAAGGTAACTGAGAATCTGTATTTCATGATTGTCTACAACAAGAGGCTTTCCATTCCACATATTATGCAAAATTACATCCCAAGCTTTTTCACTATCCTTGTGCCTATTCATGATGCTGTCTCTATCCCTACTGCTGCACTATAATCTATACCCAAATAGCCCTTTAGTACGTCTTCCAAAAAGAGCACAAGGCTTTTCCTTTCAGTATTTTCTGGTAGTCCTCAAAATTTTAAATTATGCTTCTGACTTTCATTTTAGACCTCCTCCAATTTAGCTTCGAGTGCTTTTCTTTAGCCTGGGCTAAAGGAAAATTGGACACATAAAGGTGTCTCATACGGAATCAGACCATTGATCCATCATGGTCAGACTGGTGCTGTCATAACATAGGAAACCTGGTAGAAATTTAGAACCTGTTTTTTTGTGATCTGTCTTCAGCTGTCATGTGAAAGTTGTCTGGGTTTTGTTCGCTTAAAGACTGTTGAGCGGTCTGCTTTTATGAGTGGAGTGAGAACAAAAAGAGATGTAGGAGCTCCTTAGCATAACTTATTAGCATAACTTATTCGCTTTTGTCACACACCCTGACATCACTGGAAGTGTGTCAGAAGGCAACACCCGCCGCTCAGGCTCCACTGGACTGTTTTGGATTGATAGCTATTGGGGGGGGGGACGTGCAGATCTGTCCTCGCAGAGGAGGGAGAGCTTGTACCTGAGTAAAACATGGTCTTAAAGGTGCCACTGGACCATTTTGGACCAGGGGGCCGGGGGAGGGGGATCTGCAACTTACCTGGCTGCTTCTTGCTCTGACTGAGGGCTGCTGGGAGCAGGGGGTGGGGCTTGTTGCATGTGCCCGCCCCCTGGGCTCTTTACTGCCGGAGCTCTGCTCCTGTGCGCTCCTGCAGGAAAGGACCCCTGCCCATTTGGTTGAGGAGTGGCCTTTTCTCAAGGCTTCTTAACTTTGGGGAAATATGAGCAAGTGGGCATACAGGGCCTGCAAGAGTCGTGTCATCCTGTTCTACAGCATAAGAGCTGTAATGACTATGGATTGTATCATCATCAACTTCATCATCATCCCGTTTATAGTCTGACTTTTTCACTGGGCTCCAAGGCAGATTACAAGGATGATAAAAAACTTTTCAGTCAGTAAGCGGACTGCAAAATAGGATAACATTTGATCTAACAGTAAAGGTTCCTACTAAGAAAAAATGCAGTTGGACTGGGATTGTAGAATGAGGGGAAAAAAATAGAACAATACATGCAAATACCTCTGTCAAAGGCAACAGGACTATCGGTGTGAGGAGGATTTTATACCTAACAAAATGTATCTCCTGAGCTGAACCACAGTATTTTTGACTCTAGGGGAAACACTCTCCTGAGCAAGTCTCTTTTGTGTGTTTTGTGAAACAATAGACGCACGGGAGCCTTCCTAATAGGCTCAGATAAATAGGCTCCCGTATAGGAGCCACCACAGAGGATACACATGAAGGGGCAGTTGCTGATTTACTTGTTTGCAAGGTGGCACCCTCAGAAGGCTTTGCTCCGATGAGTGGAGATGGTGCAGTGGAACATAGCAAGGGAGGTGGTCGTGCAGTACTCCGGTCCAGTGTCTTTAAGGGCTTTGTAGGTGGAGCTGTGGTGGCTCAAGTGGTTAAGACGCTGAACTGCAGGCCGTGGAAGGTCAGTACATCAGCAGTTCGAGACCCGGGTGCCGCATGATGGAGTGAGCTCCCGTCTCTAGTTCCAGCTCCTGCCAACCTAGCAGTTCGAAAGCAAGAAATTGCAAGTAGATAAATAGGGACCACTTCGGTGGGAAGGGAACAGTGTTCCGTGCGCCTTGGTGTTTAGTCATGCCGGCCACATGACCACGGAAACGTCTTCGGACAGCGCTGGCTCTTCGGCTTTGAAACGGAGATGAGCACCGCAACTCTAGAGTCGGATTCGACTGGCTTTCGAGCAAGGGAACCTACCTTTACCTTTAGGTGATAGCACGTTGAACTGAACCCAGTAAGTGACTGGTAACGAATAGAGTTATACAACATATGCCTAGAGCCATGCCCATAATTCTTTTTTTCAGTTGTTTAGGTTTAATGGAAATTGTAGACCCAAAGGGCTCTGTCCTCTCCCCAGCACAAGTTTGTCAGAGAAACATCCCCTCCGTATCTGTGCTGATGCAGACGGGGTGTGCTTTAAGGCTTGGGGAGGGGCTGTGGCTGGCACGCAGATGCTCCCAGGCTCAGTTTCCGGCATCCCCAGTTATTAAAAGGACCTGGAGGCAGAAGGTGATGCGAAAGACCCTTTTCCGCCTGAGGCCCTGGAGACCTGCTGCCAGCCTGAGTAGGCCGTCCTGACCTTGATGGTCTCAGGGTCTGATGCAGTAGAAGGCAGCGTCATGTGTGTTCATACCCATCTCAAGATAAGAGGTTTTTTGGGTTTTTTTGAGCCCCCAGAGGGGATTTTTTAATTGATTTTTTTAACACTACAAAAAACTACAACAGAAAAGGGGGAGGGGAAAACTACATATAAGGGAGAAAGTAAAGAACCCACTACTGACTAAAAACCCAAGAGAGGAGATCCTCTAACTAGCTTTTTTTTAGCATCCAAACTTATCATCTTTGTACTTATGAACTCAGAGTAAAAGAGGAGAGCGCAAAAGTGGGCTTGAAGCTCAACATCAAAAAAACTAAGATCATGGCATCCGGCCCCATCACTCCTTGGCAAATAGAAGGGGAAGTCGTGGAAGTAGTGACAGACTTCACGTTCCTGGGAT